GTTTTTGCACTTGTGGGGCGGGAGCCGAGTGGCTAGATTACCGGCTATAGCCAGTGGTTCCCGGTTACGTTATCGAGAAATAATATTTTCATTTTTAAAGCCCTAATCTTTTTTTTTGGTTTAAAAAAGCCCTAATCTTTATTTTACCCCTCTTATTTTTCCCATAAAAAAAAAGAGCTAGAAAATCTTTTGGTCCAAAAGAAACCATCTTTTCTTTCTTTTTCTTGCCCCCCTGCTTTGATAATTTTCTCGGAGGGTTTTCTCACGAAACAAACAACCACTGCCCAGAAGAGGCGAGGAGCCAAAAAAAAAAAAGGAGAGAGAAAGAAGAGAGTGGGCACTGGGCAGCTCTCGGCAGAGCCATTTCATCCTCTCATCTCCCAAATTTTGGTACCGGCTCTTCTTAATTATCGTAAATCTGTGATTTTCTCAGCTGGGTCCTCTTTCTTTTTCTCAAAGTTTCTTCCTTTTTCAGCGATTTTCCGGTGCTCAGTCGATCTGTTCGTACCGGGTGTGATTTATCTTCGAGATTTTTCTTTTCGGTTGTCTGAAGCTTGTGGGATAATCTAGATTTGGGGCAGTTGGGCTATAATAATGTGTTCATGATGTATTTTTTTCGGGGGTTGAATGATTCTTTTTGACCGTTGAAAAGAGATCAGATAAAAAGCAAGGAAAAAGGAACATGGAAGAGTGTGTCGTTACGTTTTCTCTGAGATAAAGACATGTTCGGTTGTGTTTTTTCCTTGCGGGATGTCGTCAGTCAGAGGGAACTTTGAGTTGGACCGAACAAACAACCCTCGTACGTTTCTTTTCTTCCTTTCAGTCATGGATGCTATGTGTCATAAAGGGATTTTCCTCGATGCCGTAAACTAGAGTTGGGGCATTTGGCATCTGGGTTTCTTTTCTCGATTGTGAGGAGAAATCTCCGGCTGTGGTTTTGGCAAAATTTGACGAATATGCCGATGTTTCAACCGTCGAAGAGGGGTGGTGTTATTGGGTTTGAGGGCGGTGGTGATGGTCAGGTCTTAGATCTGTATACAGCGGTGAAGGACGGTGTTCTCGGCGGCGTTAATGGCGGTATCGGCGGCGATGGGAAGATTGCAGTTGACGAGAACTTGGATCTGAAGAAGATGATCGCGGAAATGGAGTTAGCCGACATACCCACGGTGTTCATTTGTCCGATCTCGCTCGAGCCGATGCAAGATCCCGTGACCTTGTGTACTGGTCAAACCTACGAGCGGTCCAACATTCTCAAGTGGTTTAGCCTTGGCCACTTGACCTGCCCAACGACAATGCAGGAGCTTTGGGATGATTCGGTGACTCCCAATAAGACCCTTTACCATTTGATCTATACATGGTTTTCGCAGAAGTATTTGCTGATGAAGAAGCGGTTTGAGGATGTGCATGGAAGGGCAATCGAGATTTTGGGCACTCTTAGGAAGGCCAAGGGACAGGCTAGGGTTCGTGCATTGAGCGAGTTGAGGCAGGTCGTTGTTGCTCATTCCACGGCTAGGAAGACAGTGGTGGATGAGGGCGGCATTTCCGTCATTTCGTCCCTTCTAGGCCCTTTCACTTCCCACGCTGTGGGATCTGAGGCTGTCGCAATTCTGGTAAATCTGGATCTTGATTCAGATTCGAAAGCCGGTCTGTTGCAGCCGGCAAAGGTTTCCTTGATGGTTGATATGTTGAACGATGGTTCGATGGAAACCAAAATCAACTGCGCGAAATTGATCGGGAGCTTGGTGGAGGAGAAGGGTTTTAGAGCAGAGCTCGTTTCGAGTCACAGTTTGCTGGTTGGATTGTTGAGGCTGGTGAAGGATAAGAGGCACAAAAACGGGATTTCCCCTGCTCTCAGGTTGCTCAAATCGATATCGGTTTACGATCAAGTTCGGAACTTGATGGTTAGCGTAGGAGCAGTTCCTCAACTGGTTGATCGTTTGCCCACGTTGGATCCCGAGTGTTTAGAACTAGCTCTTTTTGTGTTGGATGCTTTGTGTTTGAGCCTGGAGGGAAGAGTTGCTCTAAAGAAATCTGAAAACACGATACCGAACACTGTCAGGATACTGATGAGGGTATCGGAGAATTGCACTGGCTATGCCCTTTCGATTCTATGGTGGGTCTGCAAATTGGCTCCAGAAGAATGTTCGCCATTAGCTATCGAGGCGGGTCTTGCTGCAAAGCTCCTCCTCGTGATCCAAAGTGGTTGCGATCCGGCCTTGAAGCAGCGTTCATCTGAGCTACTGAAGCTCTGCAGTCTAAATTATTCGGACACCATCTTCATTTCCAAATGCAAGCTTACGAGGACAATCCAATAGAGACAGGAAAGTTTTCAACTTAGTCACTCAATCCCTAAACCCTTGAGGAAATTGTTCAATACAGAAATTCATGTAATGGGGTTGCTGAGGTCTGGCTCTTCTTCCATGCAGCCTGATGTGTATAGATGAAAAAGATCTTCGAATTCCAGTTATTGGTTGGATCATAATGTAGACAGAGAATCTTTTCATTTTTGAGCTTTTTGGGTCATTGCTAGTTCAGTGTGTACAACTGGGAAAAAAAATATCGAAAATCTTTTCATTTTTCTCCTATGATCTTTTCACGATTCTCTGATCTAAGTTTGTAGATATGCAGATTTTCCCATTGTGTGTGTGTGTATGTATGTGCGTGTGTATACACTGTGTATGTGTTTCTTGAAGAATCGAGCACTGTTGTGAGACACGAAGTCAATGCATTGTCCTGATCTCTTAACTGTAGAGATTTGACAAGTGAATGCTTTCCACTGTGCAACTAGTTTCCCCACCGCTGTTCACAACACGTCCGAGTCGTCTTGGATTTGAATGTAGACGTGCGTAGTTTTCTTGTCCGAACACAGAAAACTCTGAACAAAATTCACCTAGTCTGTAATAAAATCAGGGAAAGGGTACAAAAACGGGAGAGATGGGCCTGGGTTGAGGATGTTGGGCTATTTTAGGCCCAATCGATATGAATGGTGTCTGATGAAAACGACGTCGTAGCTTGGGTCCGAGGCGCACCAGAAAACGGCGAAGTTTGGGTTAGACTCCACACCACAAGGCAGCTTGGAGCTGTAGAAGATCACGATTGCAACTTGTGAGAGATCCACAAATGGCGTGGCTTGCGAGATCCATAGCCAGCTCTCTCAAGCTCGATGAGGATGAAGACGATGATCAACGACGGACTAAGGCTTTCTCTGGTGAAGAGTCGCCGTCGCAGTCTCCCCGAGGTGTTAAGGAGGACCTCTCTGAGCTCACCAAGACTCTGAGGAGCCAGTTCTGGGGAGTGGCTTCTTTCCTAGCGCCTACGCCTGCTTCTTCGGATCATCCTGAGAAAAGTCAGACGGCGGATCACGCGGAGGAGAATCGGACTTCCTCGGATCACGAGGAAGGAGAAGAGGATCTGATTGCTGGGATCAGGAGCGATTTCGCGGAGATCGGCGGGAGATTCAAGACGGGGATCTCGAAGATATCCGGAAACATTGCGGTGTCGGAGTTCACAAAGATCGCTTCGAATTTCCTGCAGTTGGGATCGGACGAGGCGAATACGGTGTATAGCGTTGGAGACGTTGTAGGTGTGACCGAGGAAGTGATCGCCTTCGCGAGGGATATAGCGATGCATCCTGAGACATGGCTGGATTTCCCCTTGCCTGATGAGGATGATGACTTTGACGGTAAAGGCCTCTGATCAGATCTTGCTGAGTTTGGTAGTCCATGGTCTCTGAATGGAAATGGAGTAACTTATCTCTGGGTAGGGATTAACGTACAATTAAACTCGCATACTGCTGTCTGAATCGAACTTTGCCTGTTTCAGAAATGTTCCAGTGTCATGGTTTAGATTTCAGAGTTCACTGCAGAGATTGTCCTGCTATGGTGTGAATTTGGTATCAAAGTTTTGTCTGCAACTAAATTTTCAGGCTTTGAAATGAGCGATGCTCAACAAGAGCATGCTCTGGCTGTGGAAAGGCTTGCACCGGCACTCTCATCGTTGAGGATTGAACTCTGCCCGGCTTACGTCACCGAAGGTTGCTTCTGGAGGATATACTTTGTTCTTCTCCATCCTAAACTTAGCAAACATGATGCGTTACTTCTGTCAACTCCACAGGTAAATTGGATCATGTTAACCATAGCTGTCTTTGGCTTTGTTTCCAAGTTCACAGTTTGAGCACTGCCCTTGTAAAGATTCATGTCATACTCCCTCAGGAGATCCTCTGTTATTCGTTTTCATCAGAATGTATTAGTTGCCAATTAGGTTTATGGCAGTCCCTTACTGTTCTAGAGTGGTAATGCAAGGATTTTGTAAAACAAATTTGCTAAAACTTTTTGTGTTTGCGTGCAAGAAGGTGCTCGAAGCAAGAGCCCTTTTATCCGACGAATTGCAGAAAAGTTCAGGATCTACTGTCACAGAAGCTCCAGTGGATATGGAACCTCTTTCTGTGCTCTCTTCTAATCCTGCATCTGAGCCACAAATCCCCCCCACAACAATTACTGCAGAAACAACCCATTCTATGGAATCACCCGAGTTCGAGACAGAGAAGCACCCTGACCCAGTTGTGGACAAGTCGGTCATAGAGGAAAGACCAGTCCACCACCATGACAAGCCAACCAACCCACCAACTGCTTCATCTCAGATTGAAGACGTCCAAGTTGAGGACGACACAGATGATTGGCTCAAAGATGAAGACAATTCTGGAACCACAATGCCACTTGGCAATGATGAAGATGTATCATTCAGTGATTTAGAAGAAGACGATGACGACGAAGGAGAAGTGTCCGTCGGAAGTTACAAGAAAGTCGCATCACCCGAATGGGTTCAGCTCAAAGATGTAAAAGCTGTGGCTGAGAAAGGAGCCGGCCAAGGAAGTGAGAACAAGGAATCAAATGACTGGCTCGATGTCCATGACATTGATGTATTATGACCTGCCCTCTCCTTTCACTGTATGCGAGAGATATGCTTGTCCGATTTCCTTAGGCATTTCTGAAATCCATCTTTCCGTTGTAATCTGTATAGTTTGGATAAGAAACGAAAGAAAGGCAAAGGAATGTCTTATATGATTCTTGTGTATTTGTTGGGACAAAACTGGGAAGTGCAGCCACATCAGGACACAACACTCACTTCTGTTTTGTTCGTATCTCTCTCTAATACCTCACGAACTTTCTTTTAGAATCTCCTTTGCCGCCGCGGGCTCTGTTGAACTTATTGGGCGCTTCCCTTTTCCTCTTGGTGGAGGCTCTGTTCTCTATCTTCAGAGATACCTTTGGCAGAGACGAGAACCCAAACGAAGCAGCAACCGCCTGCGCCATTTAACGTTCCATTTCGCTTTATTATCAAAATCATGTATTGATCCAACAATCTCCCAACTTTGGTTCATTTCGAGTAATCATCCATTCAGGTGGAGAGAGATATATCATATCATTCATACCTTCAGATCAAGTCGGTGAACGTTGAACACGTCTTTCATCGAGTGGGAATCGTATGCTGATATGTAGGTTTTGTATGCCTCTTTCGCTGACTCACTTAGAGCATAATTCTTGGATATCAACTTCTCCTGCATTTCAGCCCCAAAAACCTTAGCTTTAACGTGTTTTTCGTCGTCGAATCTTACAACTCCTGCTCGCGAGAAAGTTTCAGAGATCAAAAGTTTACCAGAAAAGACTGCACATCTATCAACTTATTCTCCTCGAATTCATGTTCTTGTACTGGAATTTTCGCTTCCTGTAGATACAATCACCCCTCAAACAATCAATGCACATGATAATATTCAACACGCATAATGCATTTGTGACAATTGATATGCTTTCCAGGGTAAACTCCAGAATTTGTGATAGATTTCCAAATTTGTGGATTGGATTTTTCAAACAATTATCGAGCTAATTAAAGATTTGTTGAAAAAACAGAGAAATGAGATGTGGACTAATCATAACGTCAAGCGAATGATTAGGCCACATCACAAAATCGCAATCTATTATAAGCTGAAGCCAATACCTTCAGATACCGAACGAACTGCATCTCTTCTGGAGTTAAAACTAGCAGAGCCTTCCCCTTCCCCTCTTCTCCACGAGCTGTACGACCAACCCTATGAATATATTCCTACCAAAAGAAAAAGCAACACCTCTGCAAATTAAACAAGGTGAGGCAAACTATGAATGTGTGTTCATGCAGTACATGCATTTTGATGATGATGCTCGGGTGGACATACATATCAACACTAACATACTCTTGTTTTCTCCATTCATAAGTTTATTAAAGACCTAATTGATCCAAACATTTACAATTCAAAAGTATAAAATAAAAGACAAAAACAGAAATCGTAAATAGCATACCGTAGGGTCATCAGGGGGATCATACTGCACGATCCAGTCCTACAGAAGCAAACAAAATCAACAAGATTAGTTGGACAATCATGAAGGTAGATGATACCCCAGAAAAAAAAAATGAATAGAATGGCAAGAAACATACCACATGAGGAATATCAAGCCCACGAGCAGCAACGTTAGTACATAACAATATGCCCTTCTCTGCCTTGACAAATTGGAAAAAGGTAGAAGTTCTTTTGCTCTGGTCTATACCTCTACGGATTTCAAGGCAATCAATCTTAATGTATCTACAGAGTTCTGCATGGAACTTAGTCGACTTGCAAGTAGAGAAGAAGACCATGATTTTCTTTTTGCCATTATATCTCTTCAAAAAGGTAAGCAGGAATATTAATCTCTTCGCACTGGACACAACACAATAGCCTTGCTCCAATCCCTCACTTGTAACCTACAGTTCAACATTTGGCTTAGAAAAAAATTGCTTTCACATGATCATAAAAGCAGTTGAAAAGAAAAAAGACACCACAAGGATTTTTAATCCACAGACAATTATACAGACAGAAAGGAAATAACTTTTTTGGAACGAAATTAGGATATGAAACATAATAGACAAGAGCATTTAGCTTGATAAGATGATGACAAAGATTCATGTTATTTATTACCTTCAGTCTTCCTTGGTCCACATCAATATAAATAGGTGAGGTAAGCGACACCCGAGCAAGATCTTCAACCTGTGGATTTAATCGGGGGCATCAGAAATTAATAGAGTGAGAAAAATGAAGTTAAAACAAAATACTTTGATTGGGAATAAACCTTGGTAGTTTGGGTGGCTGAAAACAACGCTGCCTGCCTCACCTGAAGGAACAAATTAGAAAGTTTACAATCCCCAGAGCACATAAAATAAAAATAAAAATAAAAAATTCTGAATATACGTTTCCAGCAAAGAATTTACGCCAAAACAAAATTCTCATCAAGCACATATTATCAATACTTTTGTCCCAAATAGGCTCTTGCCTAGGGTACTTCATTATGTAAGCCATGAGAATACCTTTGGCAGAAGTTTAATAATCTTCTTCATGTCTTCTTCAAAGTTCTGTTCCAATATCCTATCAGCTTCATCCATTACAAGGAACTGCAAGTTAACACAGACAAGAAACATTCTTAGAAAATAGAAAAACAAATGTATATTAGAACTGCAGTGAACAAATGCAGACTTCAAGGTTCTATCAGAAGCAAATTAGTCAAATGGGTAGCAATATTCACCAAGCTGACTTTCATAAATTTCCTCTTCTTAAATCCAACCCCAAACTGGATGAAAAGAGAAAAAAACAAACAGACAGCTTGGAAGCTATTCATTGATGCAAATCTTTTCCTTTTTTCATCTCTTTAAACCGATGCCGGTTTGTTGTGGTTGAGTTTGTAATGGAAGAATTTCATCCTTCTTAATACAGAAATAAGCTATAAATGAGAAACAGGTCGCAGAGTGTTGCAACCAAGAGAAACTTATAACAAAACAACCATGGGAATTCCACACCAAAAAATATATATATAATTAATCGGACTGGGATTTGCTACCTTCAAATTCTTGAATATGAATCCATTTGTATTTTCAAGATGATCAAGCAGTCTTCCAGGGGTTGCTACTAATAAGTTAACACCTTTCACAATAATCTCTGCTTCCTTTTTTCTATTCTCTCCACCAATAACCTTGCCCACCGTCTGTGAATGATACTTGAGAAGTTCTTTGGCTACTCCGTAGGTCTGAAAGATTATCATGTATACATATCAAATCAAAATGGGAAACATAAATAGATTGGCTTACAGAAGATCTTATAAAAGTCTAAAAAAGAACGAAGAAGCAACAAAGCACAAGGCGATGCACCTGAATCGCAAGCTCCCTTGTTGGGCAAATAACAATCACTCCAGTTCCATTGCGAGGAGCAAAACGAACATTGTAGAGGAGCTCAACTGCTGGTATAAGAAAAGCTAGGGTTTTCCCAGATCCTGTCCTAGCAGCCCCAAGCACATCTTTTCCCATCATTAATGGCGGAATTGCTTTGGCTTGAATCTGCAATATCATGATAATTCGGAGAGATTATGACTTAGAATCATAAACATGATTTTTTGCTTGACAAAACGTTAATCCAGCCCACTTGACTGAGAACTTCAAAAGGGCAGTACAGTACCTGAGTCATCCGCTGAAAGCCCATCTCTTTGATTGCTCTAGCAGTGTGACTAGACAGTCCCAGTGAATCAAATGATTCATTAGTCATTATTCCACTCCCATTAGACACCGTAGCCGCCGCCTCTTTGTCGTCTTCCTCTCTCTCTTCGTTCTCTTCGTCCTCCCCTTCCTCAACATTGTCCTTTTTCTCGAACTTCAGCTTCGTATTCTTCATCCTTTTCTTCTTCGGGATCTCTTCATCGACTTCCTCGGAACCCGATTCTTCCCCATCATTCATGTATTTCCCCTCGCCCTGATCAGTATCCTCAAAATCCCGATGTTCCGATTCTTCATCCAGCACTCGCTGCTCCGGTTTCTTCACTCGGTTCTTCTCCCTCTTCTTACTTCTCTTTGCCCCATCCTTCCGAGAGGAATGTTGCTCTATCTTTGAATTCGCCATGGTTGCCTATACACAGCTTAACCCTCACTTATACCTGAATTTTATCTCCAAGCCACCGATAATCTCCCTAATCAAAACTTAGCAATCCTAACCAAACAAGTCCACGGACATCTAATCAGAACCAGTAAAAGCACAGAACAGAAAGAAACAAAATTAGGGTTCTCGTTCTGAGAGAGAGAGCACACACCTGACGACCCAAGCGCGAATATAACGACTATCCCCACATTCCGAACCGCGGGTTTGCTGATTTAGGGTTTTCCCCTGAAGACAAATTATATTGTGAGAGGGAGTTTAATTTGTATATTTAATACGTTTAAAATATAAATTGATCTTTTTGACATTTAAAATTTTCAATAACACCTAAAAAAAAGTTTTTTCGCGATAGTGCTGTTTTAATGGGCCAAAAAGCCCATATTCTATTAAACAAAGGCTCAGAAGCCCATAGTTTCATGTATGGGCCTCTGTACAAGGAATTCGTGAACGGGGGTTACCCGACTTGGGCCGATCTAAACATCGATCAATAATATTTTTTTTGTTAAGACATAAATGAATAAACAAAGCTTAATGTTCGTAGGCTCATACGACTTTGCAAAAGAGAGAGAGAGAAAAGGAAAGTGTGTATTTGACTAAATTTAGCAGATCAAGCACTTGTATTTATATTTGGATAAATTAATAATGGAGGTTATTGAATAAGGTTTTGCACATTAATGAATAAAAAAGTTATTCAATTAAACTAAAAATACAAAACATTGTAACAGTGGAATAGAAAAAAAAAGGTTGGTTTCTATTTTCTAACAACCGAGTAAATGTAATGCTTTATCTATTTGATTTTATTTATTAGAATATATATATATTGGGGGGAAAAGGGAATTTGTGAGATGTGTGGCACATGAACTCTGAAAATAAAAGTTAGGGTTATAAAGTCGACAAAGCGATGCTTTCTTACGGGAAGTGGGACCGTTTGCCACACCTTTGTTGTTAAGAAAACTTCCTCCGGAATATTCTTCTATCCCTCAATAATCCTATTGATTTCGTATGATTTACATATTTGAATCCTATGTATATCAGCAGATTAATCAATTACGCCCTTCATATAATCATACGTTTTTCATGCGCTTTCATGGACCACTTCTCACACCACGTACATACATACATACATACATACATATATACATACATACATACATACACACACACAATTCATTTAAATAAGAGAATTGACAGTTGTAGTTACATACATATATATAGTCTACGAGCGATTCATATATATTCATTTAGTTGTTTTAGTTTTTTTATTGAACATGTGTTTCAAACGACGTTCAACCGGTAATCAATATTTTTAAACCTTATATATTCAGATTAATCTTCGTTCTTTCTTGAATCAAACGAACGAAATGGTAAGGAATTGGCATCAAAGATTATATTAGGATTGTTTTAGCTTTACGTGAATCATTTAGAGACAAATTATATATCTTGTATCACATACGGTTTTGACTTCTATTGGTAATCGGATTTGATGCAGAAAGATTGCATAGAAATGCAGTGTGATGAAAAGCTAGTTAGTTCTTGAATGAATAGGAATAAAAAATACAAGCACACGTATTGACATGGAATATATATACATTACATAAAGGGGAACAAATCGGGCCGTCGAAATAAAAGGATAGAAATTATAACTTTAGGATATTGTATAAAAAAAAGAATAAACTTGGACCGTCGATTGTAAAAGATTAAAGCAATAGATTATCACGGAAACAGCCACGGTTCCAAAGAAAACCCTAGATAGACTTAGAAAAAAATGAACAGAAAACGCTTCAGGTTAATCAGTGTACATGGTTTCCGTTAATACGCTTCAGGTTAATCAGTGTAAAAAATGAAAATCTTACCCAGTAAGTAGTGGGTGAGGGGTTGAAAGGGTGTTGCTCTTGGGGCCCCGATCTCCAGTTCGAATCCAGCTGCTGGGGAGGGAGGGGGTGTTTTCTCGGTTGGGAGGGTGTTGCTCTCTGGGCCCCTGACACCGGGCCTCTAAAAGCTGCGCCCGGATCTAAAGGGATGTAGGTTGGGCCGAAGGCCCAGGTGAACCTCTCGGTTATCACACAAAAAAAAAAATGAAAATCTTAGTTCCAATTAATTTTGAAATGTCGACGTAACTTTAATGAACAGAGCCATGCACCTTTTCTTTTGCCGCCGGCTGCATGCTAACCATTAGTTGCTTAACACCTAACATTTTCAATTACCTATTATTATAAGCCAACCCTTTTGGCACAGAAATACGAATATATATATACATGCGTATGAAAACCGTATTTATACATGTATGACCATTTTGCCCCTGGTACGAGCCCCCGCCGTTCTTCTATAAATATGATTCCCCTACGCAGCAGTTCCTCCCTTTTCCCCTTCTAACTTCAGTCTCATCTTATATTGCAGAAGCGAGAGAGAATTTCTTGTCCTTGGATAAGCTTAAACCATGATGTCTACTATTTATCCGGTTTTCTCATCTGAACCGGGTTTTGCAAACCAATTTCCTGCCTTTGAAACCGGATTCACACCATGGGATGCATCAGACCTCTTCTCAATCTTCAATTCATCGGTGGGTGAACCGGTTGAGACAAAACCCGATTTTGAGAAACCGACCTCGGATCAAACCCAGTCCCAAAGCAACTCTAGCTCGAGTTCGGATAAATCACAGAACCGGTTTGTGTCGGACCTCTTTGCCTCTGATATAGGCGAACGACGAGAGAAGCGGAAGATATCTAACAGGGAATCAGCTCGACGGTCGAGGATGAGGAAACAACAGCACCTGGAGAACCTGAGAAGGCAGCTAAACCGGCTGAGAATTGAGAACCGGGAACTCGCAAACCGGATCCGGTATGTTATGTACCACTGTCAACGTGCACGGACGGAGAATGATCGTCTACGGCTGGAACACCGTATTCTTGTGCAGAAGCTGTCGAACATTCGACAAGTGTTGATCTCGTGGCAGATCCAACAGACCCCAACGTACGCCACGTGGCCATGCAACGACAGTACCGTTATGACGGAACAGGACCCGTCGATAATCTCAAATCTCGTAGTTTAGAGATTTCTGGAAACATTACACGATTATACTATTCATTCTGTATATCTATGTTTGTAAAAATTTAAAAAGTGTTGGGGAGGAAAAGGAAACAAAATAAAATAATGATAACGTATGTGTGTTTTATAATGCTATCTTTCTTTTTAATTCTCTGATTTTTAACACTATTGTATTCAATCCATCTACATAAATTAAAAAAAAAATTAAAGTTTCGAAATACTGATCCGTTAATTATCTTGGACAGTATTATTTTTAACTTTTTCAAAAAAATAAAATAATAATACATGCGTTTTAGTTCTAATTAATTCGTAAAGATTTCCAGGGGAACAGCGTTTTTTCTCCAAAACCTTATTTACCTCTAATTTAAAATTTAAAGTACGTTCGCTCCTCTTTGTTCGTTTTTTAATTAATATGTCAATATTAATAATTACCGATATAATACGACAATCTACGGTTATCTTTATAATTAATCGAGAGGTATTAATAAACAAGAAGCAGAATTTTAATTTGTTCAATATATTAATCGAAATTTATCTTGTTGATGAATATTGACTATATAACTTCCTTGCTTGTATTACATTTACGTTTTTCTAAAGTTCAAACTGCATAGAACATTAAGGTTATAAGTATAACTATTAATATGAATTGATGAGAATTTTACCTTTGAGGTATAAGGGTTCAGAACGCATTTTCATATAAACTATTAATATGAGTGGTGCACTATAACGTATTATTATAGAGATAAACATAACAATATGTGTTAAATTAGTTCATAAAAACTTTGATTAAACTATTTGATTTATCACATAACTGCAATACGTTTGGTTAGATTATCATAATGTGGATAACATAAGACGATATAAAATAATGATACTATACGAATCCTTCCATATGCTTTATAGGTATGCGACAATTAATTGCCGCAAATCCGTGAAGTTAGGTTTAGCGATAGTGATGTTGATGACACTTATTTATTCCATTAATTAGATGTTAATCACAATTGACTATCATAATTAACATTATATCGATCATTCTTCCTTACCTTTCACGAAACCGGGCGTCATGCAAATCGAACCAAATCAATCTTGAATTTATAATAAGTTCTCTCGTCATAAATTATTACATTTCTTTTGTCACCACGAGATTATTATATAGCGATAATACATCTGTATACGCAATAAATTTACAATAAGTACTAAAGATAAGTCTCATAATATATGTAAAATTATAGTTTCTAATTTAGTTAAAACGCTTAAGAAATATTTTTTATTTATTATTATTTTTTTATTACAGGCATATATATGTACTATAAGATATTAGAAGGCTTACTTTATTATTATGCATGCTTGAGTAATATATCATGTGTGTGTAACCCTAAGTATAACCAATATGTACATATGTTGTCAAATAAAAGAATGAAATGATGGATGCCCAAGTTTATGGTTTGATTATTTGATAATTTAAATTATATAGATCTTTAGGTACAAAATTTCCGGCATAATTTGTGACACGTGGAAGTGTGAGAATCGCTTCCTTTCCCTATGTTCCAAGGTTTACGTGAGATCAACTAAAAGTTGACTCAATTACAAAGGCTATGAAATCTGTATTTTTTAAACTCACTTTCTTGACGTTAAAAAATAATATTTGTACGGGTAAGGTGTCAATCGTACCGACACGAGCTGCATTCGATCCGAATATTTTGGATTTGAGTTCGGGTCGGTTTGAATTTTTTGGATCTAATAAACTAAGTTCAGGTTCTTATAGAATTCGAGTTAGTTCGGATTCGGATCGGATCGGATAAACCCGTTTAATATATGAAAAAAATCAAATTTTTTATATATTTTTTAAATTTTTAAAAAATAAATAAATCGGGTTTTCATGTCGGTTCAAAATCCGTCGGGTTTAGCCTAGTGAAATCCCCAATTCGAAAGCTCAAAATTTTTGGGGATCTATATTTTTAAGCCCCAAATTCACTATTTCCGGACAAGTTCGGTCAAACTTCGGGTTTGGGTCCGAATTGACAAGAAATACAGGTTTTGCAAGAAAAATAAGCAAATTATAAAGTCGTTTGATAGGAGATGATATTGACAGAGAAATACTGCCGGTCGAATCAATTGTTTAAGGGAAAACACCTTATAAGATTTATTAAAAACAAAACAAAACATCTTATGGAACGCGTTTTCACTTTCACTTCTAATTGCATATAAACATTTATTAATAGGGGGGGGGAATGGGGATTTGGTTTGGGGTCTGCCCTAGTTTGATAGAGAAGTAGTGTCGAATCGAGCGTTAAAGCCTAATTTGAGACCACGAATTCAGCTATTTGTCTCTCTTTTCTTCATTAGTAAGTATATTGCCACCTTGTCAATATCCCATTTTCATTTTGTCAACGTTATAACCCCGAGTCGACCGAAATTACTATATAAAAATACGATTGATACGATGACGATCCGTACACTTTATTGCACATATACAAACATGCAAAACTGATCTGGTACTCTCATATTTTTTGTAACATATATATATATGGATATAGTCGTTGAAAGAAAATATACAAAAGATTAAACAATCTCGTGGACATTTTCTAGGTTTCATAAATTCTATATGAGACGGATATGTAGGGATGTCAATTAAGCTCGGAGTCCGAAACCCGTTCCGAGTCCGCCCGAAAATTATAAGGACATAGATCTAAAAAATGTAGGCTCATTAAACTTCAGGCTTTCGGGTCTCGGGCCAAATGGGCTACGGGTCGGTCGGGCCGGGTCAGTCGGGTCTCGGGTCGGGGTTGAGGTCCGTTAATTTTTTTTTTGTTTTTTCTAACCTTCTTTTCTAAACCAAAGTTTTATATCTCTGTACTTATAAATATGTGTGCCTAAATATATATATATATATATATATATATATATATATATTTGAACCAAATGATGAACTTTTATATCTTGGTTTCAATTAAACTTTTTAAAGTGACGGGGGTTTTGAATTTCTTAACCATATTACATCATATATATATATATATAAGTTTACATTTTAGAAAGGATAGAAGTTTTCAAATATATATATATTTGTAAACATTTGTTTGTATATGAACATATTGATTTTTTTCTATAGATTTTAAATTAATTACATCATAGAATTTCTTTTTATATTATGTTTGTTATTTTTTTTATCACGTTTAAAAGTTTTTAATCGTATGTTATGGTATTGAAGAATTGAACAATTGAATAATTTTTTCAATTTTATTTTTATTTGTAAACTAAATAACTTTGTTGTTATCGGTTTTAAAAATATTTTTGTTGAATGTTTCATATTATTATTATTATTATTATTATTATTATTATTATTATTTATTATTATTATTATTATCGCAAAAAATATTTTTATTTAATAAAAAGCCTGAAGTCCGACCCGAACCCACCCGAAGTCTTGTGAGTCGGGCTCCGGGCCCGATCCTAGACCCGAAAAATAAATGGACGGACCGACCCGATCCGAAAAATTCTAGGCCCGAATTGAACCCGATCTGAACCCGACCCGACCCGACCCGTCCATTTTACACCCCTACGGATATGATAGTTTTTACCCAACACATGGACGTATCGCATGCAATACAAGAATATAGTCTGCCACGTATGTACGCATCCGATTGACGTACTCGAGAAAATAACTTGCATATTTTAACAAAAGGAATACACCGCACCAATTTGATCCTAGATTATTATTATTATTATAATTTATAAACCAAGAGAGAGTCTTCCAGGCTGCGGCTGAATATATAGTTTAAATATAATTAATTTAGAGTTTTACAGACGAATAAGTAGGAACAATAATTAAATCGATAGGTCGACTCGAGAAATTATGGAAGCTTTAAGACAATTCTAATTTCTAGACATGAAAGGTCGGTCGGTGCCAAGTTCCAACCGAGATCCGGCAACTGTCAAACAAAGCTCACTTTTCTACCGTTTGATGCCACGTGTTAATTAATTATCAAAGTGAAATCCCATTCCCCCTTTCTACCTTTTTTTTTTGGGCGAGGAGAGAAAAAAAAAAAGCACCTAAAAGACATTTACTTTGATTTTTGATGTTGAGACAAACATGCGATTCTTGATTTCGAGAATCTTGGAACCTTTAACACAAACTCGTCATTACGTGGCAGGTGGAAAAAAAAAGAAGAAGAGGAATTTAAATCATTGGTCACGAACGAGGGTGGTGTTCTTTTCTTGTTTCGGAGAGAGAGCAAAAAAAAAAAATAAAAAAAATGCAATAATTAAAAATGCCTTTTTTCTCTCTCTCTCTCTGCTGTGTGTTGTTAATTACTTAATTGCCCTTCGGGTTTTTTCCCCCTACGCTTGAATAATGATGCTAAAAATATTCGCCGTTTCTGTTTTTTTTTTGGGGTAAAAGTGTTTGATTTAAAAAAACGGTTGAAATTAAAAAAAAAAAAAGACGATATCACATTGACCTCTTCCGTGTGAATAAATTTTCAGCGTTTTATTTATCATCAAAGTCTTAATTTTCTAATTCTTTACACTCCTTCTTAACATGCAACAAGAGAAAATTCAAAGACACGTGGCAATAATAATTGGGCCAAAAGGATAATATAAAACAAGCCCATTATAGACATTGAGAGCCCATGATATAAAACCCTAAAAAAACCCTAGCTCCACGAGATCTGTCGACTTAAATATAAACAGACTCCGCCTGTGATATATTCGTCTCTGCAAATCTTTCCTCTGTTTTCTAATTTTTGGGTCGGAGGGTTTAATGGCAAGAGGCGATGAGGACTGAAGCATTTCTCGATGCTGAAACATCCTCGAGCGGAACCTCGCGTTTTGCTTTTCTGATGACTTTTGTTTTTTGTGCTTGTCTGAGCCTTTTTCTCCTCTGTTTTTCTGAAATTCTTTTTAAAAAGATGTGGTGCAAGTGTTTGGATCTGAGGGAGGGAGAGAGAGAGCGATGATTATAACGATAATTCCTCGTTCTGATGTGCTCAGTTTCTGGGCTTGACAGACTCACTATATCCATCCATAGAATATGAGCTCTCTCTCTCTCTCTTCACCATTACTTTCTCCTTCGTAAGTTTTCGTATTTTCTTTGAAATATGGGCGAATCGAAGGATAATTTTCATCTCCAAAAACATAGTTTGTAGTCGGTTTCAGGGAATCGAATTCCGAAACGATATTAATTTTCAGGGAACTGGATTTTTCGTTTCGGGATCGAATCCAAAACATTTGATTTTTTTTAAATAAAAACCAGATTCTAATTAAAATCGAGTAATATAATCAAATCTAATGAATAGTGTGTTTAAATGAATCAAATATAATATAATAATTAATTGATATTTATTTTTGTAAAACTTAAAAAAATCAAATTCGAACTGTGTTTGTAATCCATTGCTGGGCATGCTTGCTGTGATTTAGTCCTAAATTTGATTCTGGGATTACCAATTGCAAATGGGCTTCGAATCGTCCAAATAAATGGTAAAAAGAGTGATAGCGGGTATGGCAGTTGGTCAACGTTATCCAGATTTGTGGAATGGGTCTGCATTTGTTCAGGGCTTAATGTTGGAGATTTCTAATTTTATGAACTCACAAGTGATTTTACCAACAAGCATCATCGTGGATTAATTCTATTAAAATTTGTTATAAAAGGATGAAAATTTATATTTTTAAAATTTTAAAATACATTATTATATTTAAAATTTATAAAATATGTCATTATATTTTTTTAAATGGTTTTATGAGTTAATGTCGTATACGTTTAAAATTTTTAATGACACATTTTATAAGTTGTGAAATAAATTTAAAAATTATTTTTTTTTTGTCATTTTATAAATTTAAATTCATTAATTTTATGAGATTTTAAGTCACTCTTATTTGTGTTCTGATTAGTTGGTTAATTTGATTAATAATGGAATGATTGAATTGATTTGAACCTATTAACGCATAATCAAATTTGGTTTGAAATAAAATTAAATAGTTATGATTTCTTAGAAATGATTGATTAACAGTTATAGCCATTAACTTTTTGTAAAACGATATTAGATTAGTACTGTCCGAAATTAAAATGAAATAGTATCGAACTGAATTTAATATAAAAATTAAAAGATTATAATTTCTAAAATCGAAATAACAAACGGAACCGAAATCCGAATGATCGTGTCCCTAATTGTATAAGTGATTTTTTTTCTTTAACTTTTTGGAACATTTCTGCTCAGTCGCGGGAAAAGAGTAAAGGAAAGGAAATCAAATAATTTTAAAAACAAAAGACAAAAATATACGAAATGCGTAATTAAGAATTTAAGAGTCAAGGTGAGTCCAACTGCTTCGTCTTATGGGCCCCAATTATTCGGGCCCACTTCTCTTATCGAGCCCAACCCAACGTGCATCATTTCTTATGCCCAGAACAATTATTTAATTGCAATTTAACCCCCAATGTTATGATTGTTATCGAATTCACACCAATTAACTTTGTTCGAAATTTTTGTATGTAACATTTCATTTCATAAAATTGTTTTTTGGTGGATGGTAAGTTACTGAATAGATTAAATCCAAAACTGGACCGACACCAACAAAAAAAAAATCCCCCTATTATGAACTTTACAACTAGTTTCGCACCCGGAATTTGCGCGAAACTTCCAAAAAAGACCAAAACCTTTTACAACCTCATGCAGCTATACCCTGGCTGTTTCATGGCTCCTGTCGTTTTCATCGACTCTCTTGCATCTTCTGCCTCTTTCCACTGTCCAGCCGCCGCATAAATGTTCGACAGAAGCACATAAAGCGACGGATTGTTCTTTTCTTGCTCCATAAGGAACTTAGCCACTGTTTTCCCCATCTTCAGATCTCCATGAGCTGCACAAGCGCTGTACAGAGCCCATAATACATCAGGGCCAGCTCCGATCTTGTTCTTTTGGCAGATGGTGGCTATGTTTTCTGCGTCGTGGAGGTATCCTGCTCGAGCAAGAAGGTCGACTACGCACGAAAAATGATCAACCTGAGGTGTTAACCCATAATCTTCCACCATTACGTTGAATATTCCCATACCCTCTTTGACTAAGCCTGCGTGGCTGCAAGCTGAGAGGACTGCAGTGAAAGTGGCCGGGTCAGGATCAGCATTTCCTTCGTCTTGCATAGCCTTGTATGTCATAACGGCCTTTTCTCCTTCCCCGTGCCTCGCGTATGCAGAGATCAGAGAATTCCACGAGACAACGTCTTTTTCAGTCATCTTGTCGAATACTCTTAGGGATCCATGTAGAGCCCCACATTGGGAATACATGGTTATGAGGGCATTGCCTATTGATATCTCAGAGAAGAACCCGTGTCTGAAGATGTAAGCATGAACCTGGTTTCCGAGCCTCAACGACGAAAGGCTTGTGCAAATACTCAGAAGGGTGCTCAGGGTGTATGTGCTTGGCAGGAATTCAGTTTCTAGCAAATTGGAGAAGTGCTCCAAACCTTGCAAGGGAAGCTCGTTGTAGAGAAAACCCGAGATTATCGTGTTCCACGATATTATATTCTTTGGGGACATTCTGAATATCAGATTGGCTTTTCCTATCACTCCGAGCTTCGAGTATGCTGATATCATTGCATTTGAAAGTTCGATTATTGAGCCAAGACCATGTTTGTAAACACATGCTTGAATCGTCTCCAGGGCTTCCACATTTTCCGAGCTCTTTACAAGACTCCCAAAAGTATACTCGTCTGGTTCAATTCCTACTCTCTGCATTTGCTTATACACCAATATTGCAGAGTCAACCAATTCAAAATGAATATATGTGGAGATCATCGCATTCCAAGTGATCAGATCTTTCTCCAACATTGACTCAAAAAGTCGACGGGCTCCACCCAAATCACCAAAAGAAGAATACATCGTTATTGCGGAATTTCTAACAGAAGTACACCCTTCATACCCTGTCTTGATGGAAAGTCCGTGTATTTGGTGACCAATGGCTGAAGGCGGACATGAGCCCATAAGGCTAACAAAGGTCAGGTTGGTTGGTCTGAGGCCAACCTGTAGCATTTGTCTGAAGACCAACAAAGCTTCTTCTCCTTTGAAACCAGCCAAACCATCAATCATCACATTAAAAGTGATCTGATCACGAACAGAACCGTCCCCTTCTTCAAAAACCAGACGAGCACCCGGAACAAGTTGGCAGTTGAAATACATTGTAATTAGAGAATTAACAACAGAGGGTCGAACCAAAAGACCAGATTTGATAACCACTGAATGCACCTGCTCCCCCAGATCTAAGTAACCATAAGAACACACACTTAAAACACTGGCCAAACTATAATTATCATGTCGAACGCCAAGATTGTGCATTTCCTGAAAAAATTCAATACCCATTTGATACAGCCCATTTTCATTGCAACCCGTGATCATAGCGTTCCAAACCGCGGTTTCATCTCTACTAGGCATTTTATCGAACATCTCACAGGCGTACTCAATATCGCCCAGCTTGAAACAAGCACGAAGAAGCGTCGTCCAGGAATACACATCCGGTTCCTTTATCTCCTGAAAGACTTTCTTCAGACAAACTGAGTCGTTGGAACTCGCCTGGAGCGAGAGGAGCGAGTTGAATACGTGAGAGTAACCTAAAAGGCCCGACCGAATAGCGTAGCAGTGAACCTGGCCGCCGAAGATGGTATCACGGAGGTGGGCGGCCGCAGTGAGAGCTGAGGAGATGCTGTAGTGGTCGGGTTTCAGGGTTTTGCTGCGGTGAACGTCGGCGAAGAGACGGAAAGCCTGTTTGTTCTCGCCGGAGCGAGTGAGGGCCGTAAGGTGGCAGTTGATGTCGAATAGCGTAGATGAGGTTTCGGCTATGGCACACACGCTCTTGGTTAACCATGGAACCTTTTTCATCAGTCATCTAAGCTCTTCCTTTTTGGGGGGTCTTTCTTCGTTATTAATTTAGGGTTTTTTGCCCATGCGAAAGAGGAAACTCTCAGAACTGGGGAAAAAGAGCAGCCAGACTTTACAGGTCATGAAACTAAAACGCCACCGTTTTGTTGAACAAGACAGAGTGTTTGACGGCCGAGAAAATGCGAGAAAGCGAAGGGAAAAACATATACATGGAGCTTTCCTTAGAAAAGGTGTACGGATAAAGATTTGAACGGAACACTTGCTGGAGAAGAGTGCATGCAGTTTGAAACTTGCAATTGCTGTTTGTAATCTGTTTATCTCGTCAGAAAACGGCACGAAGTCTGGATAACGAAAGCCGCTCGTATCGTACTCGGTTTATATCCCAGGTCGAAACGGCACGAATTGCATCATTATTCTTTCAAACGATGCCGTTTTCGGAACAGCGTATCACACAGCCACTCGCGCTCGTAGAACAGCACAGTATACAACTATATATCTATATTCAGTGCGATTCGTGGCAATAACACTACGAAGAACCTCTCCTCCGGGAAAATCACCTAAATAACCCATTTAGGTCGCATCTATTTCAGTGTACACCACCGAAAAAAAAAAATTCAATTTTAACCCACTTTTCGGTTGGAAAAGTACGAAATATCCTTTTCGTTTTATTTTTTGCGATCTTATTATGACTAACATATAACTGATATACAACTAAAATAAGATATATAATTTTTTTACCACCTTTTTTAGAATCAATTGTAACTATATTTAGACTTAATTACGAAATCGTAATAACGAAGTTGTTTTCGAACGATAAATATCGTAATTCTTAAGGGTAATTTCGTCTTTTCACAGGAAAAAATGTGTTATGTGTTATGTTTTCGGTGTTGTACATCTGAAATAGATGCGACAAAGTGAAAAAACTCCTCTCCTCCTCTTCTAGATTCAACTGAGCAGCAGGAGCTGTGTAAAGGCGCATTTCCTTGGTTCTCAGATCTTAGATCCAACGATCTGACTGGTATACATCATCTATTCAATAATCTTGATCTAAGGTAGATTTCTTTTCTTTTTCTTCTTCTCCGTCTTCAATTTCCCCAGGGTTTCATCCTTCTTCCCGCTAATCCGACTTCGTCTTGCGTAAACATCATTTCTGCTTCTTTTTTTTCGGACTGTTGGTAATCTGTTTCGCTTTGTGTGAAAATTCGTGCCATTGTTTTAGTATTGAGCTATTATATTGCTGAAATTGGAGATCGAGCTAGCGCGAAATTTGTTCTTTGTTTTTTTCCCCAAATATTGGTAATTTCAGCTAGAGTGGAATAGATTTCGGATTTTGTATAATTATTTCGTGGACCTGCTTGCAAATGGTTCCTTGTGTTGGAAAAATCTGTTGGGATTGATGATTATTGTATCGCTGAATGGGAGAAGTACCTACAGCGAAATCTCTTTGCTCGTTTATGCTATTTCATGCTGGAATCGCGTAGATTAAGTCTTTTTTGAACGGCAACTGATCGAAGTATAATCTGTTTATCGTGAAGGAGCAAGAGCGGTATTCTAAGTGGTCTTATGGAAGTTAGGTTTAAAGTAAAGATAACTCCATTCTGTTGTTCTTTTTGTTTTCGGTTTGAAGGTTTTGTAGCTTGAACTTTGCCGGGTCCTAGTCATGTCGAGACGGCCAGTAAGTTTGACAAGACGGCTCGGTGATAGTGCAAGCTTTCCATTTGCAGGAGCTTTGCACTCAAAGTCACGGTCATCTCCAGTGTTATCTATTTGCCTTGTTCTTGTGGTATGATATTTGCCTCATTGTGCTGTTTTTGTTGATTCTTTCC